GAGACGCTTCACCCTAATCCCTCGTCAAAATATGGCACTTCCTGTCATTGCAGGTGATGGTGCATGAAATTGCAAACTCCCCCAAACCCTGGGGCCTGTTGTCTTTATGTTACACACAAAGTGCTCATGCCTGTAACTGACCATGCGAGATGCATGAAGATGGCTAATTTTTCAAACAGCGACATCCCCTCCAACCCAGTGGTCCAGATCTGTATTTATGTAAGTGGTTCTGGAGTGTTTTGTTGCAGGATGGAGTTGTTCCCTTGCCTTCCTAAGTATTGACCAGCAAAGGGGACAGACTGCGCCAATACCTCGCTATGCCCTTGCAGAGTTTATTTTCAATCTGAACCATCAGACTGATACAAAGGAAGTAGCCCTCACCACGGGGAAAAAGTAACCAGGGGCACATTCGGTTGAACAATACTTTGGATAGGGATGCCTACCATTAACAATAATAGGGTATGCTACTACCGCCACACAGTCCATATCATACTGTGTCTCTCACAGCACTGCAAACGGGGACAGATTTAGAAAGAAATCCGTGCAAGCACTACCACTGGAAACTTCAATTAGTAAAATCACTTCAAAGATGTCTAAAACATAATCCCCCTCCCCAAGCACACCACCACCAACCTCCACCACCATGGCATGGCAGAGCCGACCCTACTCCCAAGGTTGGTAACATTTACTGATCAATGCACAAATAGAATTTTAAAAAGAAGTAGTAATTTCAGTCCAGTTTCATGTACGCATGGGTTCAAGGTTTCCTCCTTTACCGGAGTAGCATGAAATTGAATAATTACATGAACATTAAAAACGGGACTCAAAAGATAAGAACACTTCAAAATTAATCTCTACTTCAGCTCTTTTTCCTCATCAGCTGGCCACACAAGTGTAAGTGTGTGCATAAACGGGCTGTTTACACATCAACAGCGCATTATTGATTTTGACACAAAAGTGCCATATGTGAATGACACTATTCATATTTGATCGGCACCTGTACTAAGTTCTGCTACATTACTTGAACCAATAGCTGCATTTCTTCCCAAGGGGAGAGGGGAGGGAGGGACCAGCCCAAAGGTAGGCATTCCCATGTGCACGTGCATTCTCTTGGTCATATTCTTGGGGCTTTTTTTGGGGGGGGGGAATTACTTGAAATTTACAAGGGCATGCATCATGTCAGCATTATTTCTCAGAAACATATGCAGCATGTGAAGGGCCAATCTATGAAGATCACGGTGGGGTATTGAGTGGTACGAACACAACCCATTTTCTCAGATGTCCAAACTGAAATAAAAACCTCTTTACAGCAAAATTCCATTTGCCTTAATCCTTTGTAAGAATCTTACCTTACAAACCAATGTTATTATAACCCAAAGCAGCAATCCTTCTCCTTTCAAATAAACCAACTGGTTTGAGAAGCAATTCCTGCGTGGATCTGCTCAGCGCAGGATATGAAACAAACAAGAGCTTTCCTCTCAAAAGTCAACGTACTCATCATCTATCATCTGAAGGCAATATGTATCTAGGAAATGGTGCGAATGACAAACAGGTATTAGCTTCAGTTTGAATGACATCAGTTGCCGCTGATCTTTGCACATTAAGATTCATTTCAATACTTTTGTGCCAGAATGGTGACAGACAAAACTATGTGTAAGTAGGTCTTGTTCATTTTGAAGCAACTGGTGTAAAATAACGGAGAAAACAATGTTTTTTGCGTTTTCTATCAGGAGAATACCTATGAATGGGCACACACTGGTTGTCGGACTTTCCTGGTCTACAATGCCACACAGGATGATAAGATGTAATCGGATTATGAATTCACACCAATAGGCCTACATGTACATACACGGATGGATGCAGAGGCCACTTGATTACCACAGAAATGCACACGTGTAAACCAAAGTGTATTTCTTATCTTAGGTTTCATCAGGTGTCATCCATAAAGAAGAAGTTATTCCTGGTGAATGTTCCAAAATCTAGATTTCAGAACCAGCTGCAAGAAAGCTTTGCATTCATACAAGGTTACCTACTAACATACATGTATGTGAAAACCAAATTGCAATGTCTGATGGCGATATCTCCATGGCAGAGTACTTTGAATCCCTTATACAAATAATGTCATGTACGTGTACATGTGTGTTCACATCCATGCTTCTTGCCAAATTTCAAAGGCGACTAAGTCTAAATAGACATCCTTCGATCGCCTCTGTACTTTTCCTCTTCTTGTGTGATACTCTGAACTCGCCACAGAGAAAGTCAAGAGTCTATACATGCGCACCAAGGGCAAGGAAGGTGACAGACAGAAGGGGGAAAGGAGTAAGGGAAAAGGGGACAGGGGAGAGGTGTCAGGGCAGAGGGTGAGGGGCTTGTCAATGAAGGTAAAGAAGGATGCAGATGGTGAAAGGGGGAGGAGTAAGGGAAAAGGGGACAGGGGAGAGGTGTCAGGGCAGAGGGTGAGGGGCTTGTCAATGAAGGTAAAGAAGGATGCAGATGGTGAAAGGGCTAGGGATATTTTAAGCATGGCGACATTCCAAACCTCCTTGATTCGAAGACAGACAACTATCACAGCTTGATGGACAACCTACCCTACTCACAAGACTGCAACTCATCCAACCAAATTGCCAAGGATTTGCTCATTTCGGAGACTAATGACAACCCTGTATCAACATTTGAAGTTTACAGAGCTGCTTGGTACAAAATCATTGAGTAGAAAGGCAGTTGCTGCACTGGCACATTACAGCTGAATTTTCGCGAAAAATACTTTTTGCTTTAATAGCAAATCCATGAAACCTGTCACAGACAAACATGTATTTATACAGAACACCCCTACCAATCCCTTCCTCCCTCCCACACCTTCTCACTCCCCACATATCGTTTCTTCCTGACACCAGGTGACAGACTGCATGCTCCCGTCATAGGTTTGAATCAATAGGAGGGGTACCTTGTAGCTATGCATCTTTAACATCCCCTGACATATCTGGGACAGCGTCCTGGGATTTCAGAGAGAGGGCTAGCGGGCACGGGCAGGAGAGAAACCCCCATCGGACCAAAACTGGTGATAGTCGGTGGGATGGTGTGCGCCAGTCAAGTGGGTGACTCCAATTTAGATAAAGTATTATTCTTCACCTACAGCTACATACACGTGCCGAGTATGAGGTATGCCTATTCTGTTGTGAAAGTAAACAGACAAGTTTTTTTTTTTATTTCAGACTGTGGCAATGAGCCGGGCACATCAGGGAATATAAGCTGGTGATGAATTCATAATTTATTGCAGCGGAAGTTTTTACATTGAGGCTTAGTTGAAAAAAAAAAAGACCAGGAGAACACATAACGGAACAAGATAGCTTCAATGGCGTGGGCTTAAATATTTTGGAAATTTTCATCAGGTGATGAAGTTACCATGTCTTGGTTTGCAGATTCTGAACATACGTGGAGTTTTCTTTTGGGCATGACATCTCTGGCTGTCTAAAATACATGAAGAGTTTATGTATGGTGCGTTTGTGAAAGCACTGATGTTAAATTCAGTGATGGTCAGTTATTGTATGGATCACATTCTGTTTCCTGTCTAACGTGCCTTTAAGAAAAGCAGGCAATATTAAACATGACAAGGAATGATCAACCATGAAATGCGTAAACACTGTTGGTATCTGGCTATTTACCACTATGAATTTTAATTCTTTTGAATAACATGTAAATGTATGCGTTCATCTGTCCATTTATTTGCCAATTTATATATAAATTATATACAACTTTTTCAGGTGAAGTTATAGAGAAAGTTTAGACAATCACTTCTAAGAATGCACTCTGTAGGGTGTGAGTAAAATTTGGTAGAAAGTCATCCCGTCTTCCTACACTCGTTCCCAAATCAAAGTGGACACAAATATCACATTCACACCACATTCCCACGTTACGTATTTACACTGACCTGCAAAGACAGCCCACATAAAAACGACAGAGACCATTTCATAATATTAAATTATTCAACATTTGTTGTATTTGTGACATACTCCATAGTCAGTTTATTTTGTGCTTGTTGTCATTCGTAATTTGCCAGTTTTAGCCTGCCAACTCAAACCATATCCCTTTCCGGGCTAAGGCATCACACTTGCTAGGCTACTTGGACACACTTGTACCCCCGGGGCCATTACCAAGTTGAGGGGACAACATCTTTTGTCAGGATAGTCAAGACTAAGTTTGGGGGATAAACATTTGTCTCAATAGTAAGGACTCAGTAGTAACATAAGGGCACAAACTCAGCATTAAGGGCACAAACTCTGCAATAAGGGCAAAAACTCGGCATTAAGGGCACAACTCAGCATTAAGGGCGCAAACTCAGCTTTAAGGATGCAAACTCGGCATTAAGGGTGCAAACTCGGCATTAAGGATGCAAACTCGGCATTAAGGGTGCAAACTCAGCATTAAGGGCGCAAACTTGGCATTAAGGGTGCAAACTCACTATTAAGGATGCTAACTCAGTATTAAGGGCGCAAACTCAGCATTAAGGATGCAAACTTGGCATTAAGGATGCAAACTTAGCATTAAGGGTACTGTTGCCCTTCCTAAATCAAATATCAGGTCTCCAGTGTCTGAGGCTCAATTTAACAAAGAAAATATGGACAAGGTCATTTGTATCCCAAGGAAAAATCGGCTGTGAATAACCTACTGGCACTACACAGGGTGTCCAGAACTTGCAACCCAAAGGAAATGAGTTGTGTTACATAACTGAAAATACATGTATCTTCACCAACATGAGCTTCAAATAAAATTTTCATTGTAAGTAAACATTAAGTAAGTAGCAAGTAAGCTTTAATTCAATAGCAAATCAATGATTTCTCACTATCCCATTGGGAAAAAATAAATGTTACATTTGGGGTGCATTTTGGGGGGGACATACTGAACATTCCATCACTTTTTGGCGGGTAAACCTGTTTCTGCACTTCACAGCCCTGAGAAAGCACAAGGCTCCAGGATGCGTAAAAAAAACTCTGGAATCTTACCTCCACTGCTGTGTGGCAAGACCGCATGACGCCAGTACCAGTCGCATGCATTTGAGCCAAGTTGTAGAAGCCCAGGATGTGTCCAGATTGAGAGGCAAGGTTGAAGTATTTGACAGCCATCTTGTAGTCTCGTCGCACACCAAGACCACCTTTGATTGAAACAAAAATTCAAGTGGTAAAAACTGTCAAAATGTCTTGGCTTTTTGAGACACCAAAAATGTAAATTTAATGACTGTACAAATGCATATTGAAATCACTATTGCGAGTTCTTTAAAATCTTTTCCAAACTGATATGCTGCCGTTTCTGAGACAACTGAGATGCACTGGTATCCAAACAGCAGCAACATATCGAGCACAAAGTCATCTAACAATTTACCATTTGAGCAGTGCCTTAAGCATGATCCAGCAACAAAGAATGATGAACATGTAAGCTAACACTTGAAAGAAAACATTCAACTATTCCAAATCAATATCTTGATTTTGACCAGCACAAGCATGCATTTTGGTCACAAATAAAGCTGACATTAAATGATAGATTCCTTGAAATGCAAAAAAACAGCAGTAGAGTACTCTCATTGATTTTTGCGTCAACAATGCATGTACCGATCCTGAAAAATGACAATGCCCAAGGCACAAATTGTAGTCAGTTCAAATTCAAACATAATTCTCCACTGCCAGTACTCAAGCTGTTCTGCTACAACATAAAAGAGATAAAAACACCCCCCATCCCTCCAATAGTACTGACCGAATAAACCCACAGTTCCATGATGCCTACTGAGGCTTGTGCTTGTAAATACACATGTATCACACAATTTGTTCCCTCAAAAAAACACATACTCCCCCAGGGGAGTTGGGTTGCTGGCCAGTAAATAGGTCCAAAATTGCCTGTGTGGACCATATCACGATTTGTAAGCTGTCAAATTCTCTGCTATGAGATCGTTTTCGTGGCACATGGACTGGATGGTTTGTTAAAAAGGTGGATGAAATGCAGGGGCAGGACTGCCAGCTTGTATTTCTGAAAGTATCCGCCCTCCAAACTGCTCTATTTTGCGGTGGAGTGTAGGCATCCATTTTCAAAATGGCAATGGGCATCAAGACTATTTGGAGGGGTGGTTTTCTCTGGAGAGAAATATCTTCAAAAGTCATTGGTTAAGACACTGTAAATTCAAAGGAAAATGAAAAATAAGGAAGTGAGCTTTGTTTTGACATGTGTCTTCAACACCTGGGAAAATTGTATTTCTCCTGATTTTTGAAGAAGGGATATTTATCGTTGTCGTCTATGGTAGCTTATTTACTGGTCTGTACCCATAAGGGCCAGTTCACTACACCACAACCATCCAGGAGTTAGGTTCTTCTAAAAAACAAAGGCAAGCAATGCATGTATCTGGAGGGTGTTATCTTGGAAATCACTTTGCTTTGTTCTACAGTGCACTTTTTGAGGAGTCCCACAGTGAGATGCGACTTTCCAACTTAAGTGATTTGTCAGTAACTTTATATTTATCATTGTGATCACAGACCAATTTCAGCAAAATCAAATGCTGCAAAGAAAGTTTTCAATTCTCACCATTTTAGTACAATATGGCTCTTCCCCAACAGGAGCTGAGCACATGATCAGTTGGTGAGAACTTCAATTTCTCCTATATGCCTAGATCTTTTGATTTTCTTGGAAGTAAATTTGTACTTAATTACACAAAGTTTTGTGTGGTCCTCCCTGGAGGTTCTTCTGTTTCCTAGTGCCCCTGTGAGGTCCAATCTGGAACTTTGATCAGTCAGGATTGTTTCCAGTACACTCCCATATGACAACAAGTACATGTAACATGTGTTCCAATATACACAATGAGCCCTGAGCTTGACCAAGCTTGAGCTGAACAGTTGCTCCATTGGTTGAAACTGCACTTGGCTGGTTCATCAACAACTATGAAAGGCATGCGTTACGGTTGCATTCGCTACCAGCAAAATAAACACTACCAACATGGCTCTCTTCAACTGATGAGGGGGTGCTTCTGCTTAAAACGGATTATAGTAACCTTCATAAACAGAAGTTACTAACTTAGGGAAATAGGATCCCTTGTAATCTCAAAACTGACATGTAATACAATTAGATCATATAGTTTATGGATAAATAAATCATCACAAGGCTATAGACAACTGGACAGTTCTGAATATTCCAGCGAGATTCCATAACTACATCAATTGGCAATAAACTTGCGTACAGGACAAGTTCATTCGTTAGGGTAATTTGAACCGAGTTTTAGAGACATTTCGGAGTCCCTACAGCGTTTTCAATCCCCACAAAATAGGTAAAGTATCCAGTGTATGTCCCCACAACTATGATGCGGGAGTATGTCTTCTTGTGCTTGAGGCACACATGTATTCAGAAAATCACAGCACCCTTCTGATCAAAGAACCATGTACATATGCAATGCACATGTACCACCTGTACACTAGCGTTGTTCCACTGCAGTAAGGCTACTGATTCTTGGCGCCAAATCACACCCTAATTGGTTGCAACTGGTAAAAAGACTATCTTGGAGTACTCAAAAATTGATTCCTGACTCAAGCGCTTGCAGTAGAAGTCCCGGCTTCTTTTTACCTGAGCTTATCAGACACTCCTATCACTGCTACTATATGTATAGAGTTACATGTTGCCTATTTTTCATCACAGCATCTGATGCTACCACTGACAGAGATACTAATGTCAAATTAGGAATTCTACCCAAACATGTCTGGAAAAAAGTTACCTCCATTTACTCTGTGGTGGATGAACGACCCTCCCTCAACAGTAGACACGGTAATGAAGTAAAAAACATTTAGGGGCACTCTCTGAGCGATTCAGTGTTCCGCTCGTAACATTCAAATAAGCTTTGCATGAATATAGCGTACATCCTGCTGGCTACAACTCCAGACTTGTTCCTGCATTAAATTTGTCTAGGTTTCCTGGTAGTGGTACTGCTCACTTCGACTTTACAATAACAGAACAGTCAGAAGATTCGCCTGGATAGCCCTCTCTACGGGGCCCAGGAAGACAATTGTCTAGTGTCTTGTGTTCACAGAGTACATCCAAATGTAAGTTCAAAATCACAGGCAATACTGGCCAACTGAATGATGTTACAATGTCACATTCACAGTCGACTTCATTTACCCTATCATTTGAGAGAAAGGGGTATGACATACTTTTACATGTATGCTTATTACATACATGTACTTACAGCAAGGGTTCCTCTCCTCTTTTTAGACGGCATCATTTTTAAACAGGAACCACACTTTGATTTCCCAACTTGAATAAAATGCTTGCAAATGTAAATGTACGAAAAAGTAGATTTTCTGTTGTCAAGCATCTTTATTAGAGAACAGAAAACATACATGTAAGAAAACACTGTTTGAATTTCTAAAGTTTACTGTGCTGTTACAACACTTCAGCAAACAGGACAGGAAATCACTCCTTACATCAAGTCAAAGCAATGGTATAACCACAGTCCAGCCCATCTTGGGCATTGTATGTACGACTCGTCAAGAAACTGAAGACTAAAATCACTAGCCCCATGCCATGTTAATCCTTGCACGCTGGGCCCATGGACATGTCTACGGCCATTCTAGCTTCTTGGGAAGCATTCCTGTACAGCTTGAATGCAGCCAAGTTAAGTGCAGACAGTGAAGTCGACACAATGGCCATCTCTGGCCCAAGAGGGGTCCGTGTGTATCCGCTGGGTGAAGAGGGGCAAGTAGAGACAAAGGGACTTGCTGGATTCGAACCCCCGACCTTATGAGTTACAAACCCAAACAATTAGATTACATGGCACACTAGGGCATACCGAAGTGGGGGGCTCCTTTCCTAATCTTCTGGAATCTCCAATTATTTCACCATCAAACAACCAAAAAACGTAGTTAGAGATCGTTTGGGGTATTTTAAATGTACCAAATTTCAGGATTTAATGTCATTTTTAAACAGACTTTCAAGGGAGAACACGCCCTGTACCCCTCTGTTCTAGACGATTACATTTTGAACCCTCCCCCATAGTCCTAGATACACTACTGAGGCACATAGCAGGTAATCAGGAACTAACCAACATGTAAATAATTGTTTGTCCATATAAGCTTCTTTTAAATGGAGTACCCCGTCCATCTTGAACTGCACATCTCAACATCAAAATCAAACTCCATTTAAATTTCATTCAACCTACATGTATGCAAAACAATCTACAAGATTACGGCCCCTGGTACATGTCAGAAAAATCCTCCACTATCCTCTGTTAGTGAAATCCTGCTTATGATCCTGTTCGCAGATATGAGGGGCATCCTTGCTAGGATATGGACACATATAATTTAAAAGACCAGAAAGGTGACCCAAACCCATGTGTCTAGGGGATGAGCATGCTTAATTTCTTCACAAAGAGTGGGAAGGTTATAAAGAGTACTTTAAAGCCTGGTTTCCATATCGATGTAAGAAATGCACAGAGCAACACAAACTGCAACGCAGACATGTGGAAACACGTCAAAACAAAAGTAGCATCGGGTCGCTGAGTAGGCCTATGCAAACACATATGCTGGCATGACGGGCAAACGTTAGTACCACTCATTTTGTCCATTTTCTCCTTATTACTAACAAATGCAGCCCCAATTGTCAACAAAATAGCTGACCATTGACAAATTAAATCAAGCTGGAGTATCAGTGTGACTGCAGGAGGCAACACTGCCACCTAAAAAAAGGCAATTTTTTGGTAAACATTTTCTGGGTTTTGGATGCCATTTTGTTTATTTTTTTGGTGGAATGACATCCTACAGCGTCTCTTCCGCGACTGTCTGCATCTAGACGTCTCGCGGACCTTCTGCATTACAAACAACATATGGAAACCAGGCTTAACAAGTCATCCACAGATTCTGTGTCTTAAGTGGCCAAGAGCTCATCACATGGCATTCGCTATTCTTGCTGTCCTACTGTGCATTGCTAAAAGATCCGTACCACTCACATTACTTGCACCATACCCGTAGCAACCAAAGAACAATCCGGTTCTTAAGTATAACGTTACTTCAGTTTAAAGAACACCCATAGCATACAGAGATTCATCGAACTATGGAAGCAGAAGTTAACGCACAACTTAAGCATTCGTGCAATGGGGCTTGCAATCGGTGGTGTATCCGTGAGTGCGAT